CTCTTCCCCCGGACAGTGTATTGTGTACAAAGGCAGAGCTGGTGTTTACTGATCGTGTTACAATAAATACCAGAGAGGGGGAGAGCTGTTTGCAGCTTAATTACCATCTGACCCTGGTGTCTGGCTGTGGAGAAAATGTTTAATTTTTAGGCTTCATGCCTAATAAAAGGTTCAATAGAAAATGAGGAAAGCCTAAAATGTGAGTCATGAAAATGTGCACATGTGTACATCATAAATGCACCTCTTCATTACCACAATAAATGCTAATCACTTACATAGGTGGAAATGGACTTGAAGCCTGATATTTTTCTTCTTAAGTTAAAGAGACCCTGTCACCAACATACAAAATTGCACAGAAAATCAAGCATTTTAATTGCTTACTTGCAGCATTTTTCCTTTCCTTAAACAATTTTTTTAACTTGCGATGTGCCTTTGAAACTTGCTGGCAAATATGACTACTTCAGTAAGAGTCAGTTCCCTAGCAGAGCTCCCTCCTTGCATGCCATAGCCCTCTCGTCTGGGAGTGTCTAACTATTCTGTGCTGACCCAGCTCCTCCACCCTTCCCCCTCACCTCCTGGTAAGTGTGGGGGGACTGAGGGAGAAAAAGGTTCTCTGCGGTTTTTACCAGAATGCAGAGAATGCATTAAGGTAAAAATAAAAAACGCCCAGAACGTAATAATACTTCGTAATGCTGCATAGGAGAGGGTCATATCATTTTTTTAGGACCTACCCATCCCTAGGGGAAAAGGGTCCATTTGAGTGATGTCAAGGGCCCCCAAAAAAAGATGGACAGGCACAAAAACCGGGAGTTGAACTTTAAATTGTTAGGACAGAAATATGGAAGATGCAATTGTGATTTGTATGTTGACTTTACTATCTCTTTGTGTTGGACAGTATCTTTTTTTTCTCCTTTGCCTGATGGTCAGGTCACTACAGTCATGATCTGATGGTCTTCTTCAGTTGATGTGTTTCAAAAGGCTACATTTTGTTACTTTTTTTTCTTTCAACCTTAAGGCCCCATTCACACGTAGCGACATACCTTTTGCGGCGGCCGGGATAGCGTGACTTTCGGGACGACGTTCCAGCGACGGTAGCGTGACCTTCTCCGTCGGGCTCCATTAGAAAAAAGCAAAATCCGCCGAAAAAAGGGTCCTGTAGAAGCGACTTGTGACCGCGACGAGCGACATGGAGCTAAGACAGCTCCATTGAATATCATTAGCCGGCGACTTCTCTCGATATCGCGCGGCAAATCGCTACGTGTGAATGGGGCCTAAAGGAGAACTATGAGGCGAGTGAAAATCACCTCATAGTTCTAGCCGACCTGTGACAATGAAACTGTCACAGGTCGGCGCAATAGATCGGGAAGTGAGCGAACACATACCGTCGCTCGCTCACTTCTTGATCCTGTCCCTGCAGAGAGCCGTGACTGTCACTCACGGCTCCCTGCAGGGATTGCCCCCTCCCCTGTCCGATCCTCCTGCTCTGACTAGCGAAACGGGGGAGGGGTCGGGCACAGCTGGCTTTGCCTCTAGATAGGCAGAGCCAGCTGTCACTCACGCAGCTGGGTGGAACCAGACGGTAATGTCGGGATCCATTCTGGCTGCGGCGTCTCATGTATACCGCCAGCTGTAGCTCGCGGTATACTGAGCTTTGGGTTTGAGGACGCTAGTTTGTGTCCTCCCGTTACCCTTAGGAGAACTATGGGGAAAAGTCCTGACCCCATAGTTCTCCTTTTAATGTTATGTTATTGATTGCTAACCCTTCTTCCTCCTACTGGTGCTGAACATGTGCAATGTGATTCCGAGAATTTTACAACTAAAGACATTTCTAAGTGTTCATCTCAGATATTTGTTGGGGTTGATTGGCTTTTTCAGATACTATTGATATGTTTACTGAGAATGAAATGCAGAGCTGTAGATTGCAGTATGTTAGCTGTGCTGTACATTGCAAGTTAACTCAAACAGTAATGATAGTGGTGGAACTTCTAGTTATGAGTGACATGTCCACCTCAAAAAATGTGATCATGTGTGCCTAAAAGAATAATTGGATCTGAAACTAGCCATTGGCATGAGACAACTTACTAAAGTGTATGTTTGCGTCATCAAGGTGCTCACTTCTCCAGTATTTCCTGGTGAAGAAGATAATCAGAGAGATTTGTTGAATAATTCAGTGCCAGATAGGTCCCCTCCTTCTCCCATGTTCAAAGCATAAGCATCGAACATGCAAGTATGTATGTTTCTGCATTACCCTGCCCAGAAACTACTCCTCTGCATGATTTTTCTTTATTGCTGCTTGTGCTTCTATTGGAGGTATTTCCCCAATTAACTGTTCTTTCCGACATTCAAATATACAGAAAGTAAAAAGATTTTCCTTCTTTTCCTTTTCCGTCTGACACCTGACATAGAAAGGGAGTAAGGAGACATGAATGGCAATTAGAAGTTGAAAATGTCTAGCGTGAATTTGGCTTAAAGGCATTTTTTTCTTTACAATATGACTTAGGCCGTTGATTCAGAAGTCACACTGCTATACTCAGTTATACTATACTAATCAGTTGTGGCATTACCCTAGATAAAAAGCTGTCTGGTAAGCTTGCCATGTATACAGCCCAGAAATCAACATTGGAATTTTTGTCTCTACAAAAATCGTTGATCTGCATAGGAAACCCGAATATATGCCAGAAGGCATGTGTGTAATCCATAACTGCTCAATAGGATTCATTGCCAGTAGGTTAGAATACCATCATGCAGTCAGTCAAGGGAGGTGTTAGCTTTATTAGCATTATATTATGTCTGTTTCAGCTTACTTCATTGACTCACCAGTTGGTGGAATATCTCAAAGATGTAATATTGCTGGCCAACTGCTTTTATACAAAGGAGAAAGGTTTAACAGGTCCCAGAAGCCAGAAAGTCACAGCACTGAGTAATGTATGGCAGGCAGCTATACGTTGCTGCCATTATGTTTCAGTGATAAGTTCACTGGGGAAAGTTTAGGGAGATGTAGAGGGCATTTTGCCACTTCTCTCGCACTCTGATGATGTTAATCATTCATTAGAGTAACAGCCGTTGGAAATGTACTTATATTGTACAGGCAGTCTAGGCATGTGCATGGAAACAGCAACAAGATTAACCCATACATCTGTATGTATAATGAGTTTCTGAAATAAGAAAGGACACCTTAAACAAAGTATGTAGGTAAAGGACATATCCCTGCAATGCCCCAATTACGCAGGACAAGAGGAATTAATTTGCAAAAACAAAACGCCTTAAGTACTTTTTTTACCTCTACTTTATTATACTTCACTTTTCAAAATAAATCCAATAATTGAGAAACTAGATGAAAGTTGTATTACAGTTTAAGCAAAACAAACGACAAACGCACTCAACAATTTGTCACCAGTTATACAGTAAGGTGCACACGAAATGGGCTTTGAACAGTAAAACAGTAGAAAGGCATCATGGCACACTCACAAACCAGCATGTAAAACAACTTGTCTCACCACTAAGGATAATAACAGAGGTTTGGATACACGTCTTCTGCAGAGGATGTGAAAGCCGCACAGCCGCGCCAAGGCACCTCTTATAGTGCCGTCCTAACTCTAAACTATGAGAGTCTCCATCTTGGAGCACATGGGGGCAGAAGATTTCAAATTATTATGTTATTATCCTTAGTGGTGAGACAAGTTGTTTTACATGCTGGTTTGTGAGTGTGCCATGATGCCTTTCTACTGTATTACAGTTTAACACTTTTGGTAGTTAAAGGACAAGTTCAGCACATTTTACAAATTTTCCCCAGCTTTAAGCTTGCCATACATTGTGCAAATTTTGTCCAGTTCTTGATAAACCTGACAAAATTTGCACTGTGGGTGGCCCTGTTGGCACCCTTCTGTCCAGCATAATTCAATTGGAAAATCAAAGGAGCTGGTTGGTTGCCATCACTGTTCACCTGAAAATGTTCCAATCGGCTACCATCACTGTTTGGGTATTCTGACAGTGGTGGGTGAGCTACAGCACAATAGCTCAGTAGAAGTGTTGTCCATTCTCATTGTTTACTGTGGATGGAGGGATCTGTTATTTTTTTGTTCAGCCCAGGTTGTGCCAACTACTGGTAAAAGTCTAGTGCCAGACTGCCCACACCTATGCACCAACCTCCCATAGCCCTGAATGGGAGTTTGTTCCTACAGTACAGGCACAGCCCATGGCTCTAGGCAGTAAATCTAGGCTGAGGAGGATCTACTGCTGAAAACTAGTCATTTTATGCTTTTAGGTTTTCAATTAGTCATTGTCAAATATGGAGGCTGCTATCACTGTCCTCCTACTGCAAATGCTAGTTGCCTGGTAGTATCTGGGATCAGTTTATCCAAGTCACAGACCCGGAGCAAGCATGAAGCATATAAAAGCCACCGAGAGTCAACAGCAGCCAAAAAATTTGCATTTTTAGAATGAAGGTCTGCATTGTCAGCCTACACATTTCTCACATTGCAATCATTTCATAGGCCTTCCTTTATCAGTATTTCATTTTGAAAATGTCATTGGGATTTTTAATATGAGGAAGGAAGGAAGGGGCAGCTTGATGGCTGACGTTTTTCAAGAAAGATGTTTGATAGTAGCTATGTGCTGAGTCTCAGCTTCTACACTGGATGTAAAATTGGTGGCAGAATTTTCAGTGCTTCTCTTATGAAACCTTGCTGATGTGATACTGTTTTTCTAGCAGGAAACTGCTACAAGTTATTATTAAGATGTTTTGGCTTTATCGTGATCTTTGCTGAACCACATTTCACATGCGAGTTTTGCAATACTGTGTGAACAATTTGGGAACTGAACACACTGCTAGGACCGACCTTAGCTTATCTGGCTTCATCTGTAACTTTCCATTCTCTGGGCAGCGTTAATAAAAAGTGACACAAGTTCTATCTCAGCTGGTGCAGTTGTCCATAGCAACCAGCCAGCTTCTTTCATTTGTTTTTGCCACGCAGCTTAGCAAATTAAAATTTAAAAGCTGATTGCCTGTGCTCCTGGTGAGACAGAGTTGAGACACTGTTTGTGTCCAACATTTTTTTTAATCAATGCCCTCCACTGTATCTTTGTCTGAAGACTAGGAATATGATCTTGTTTTATGGGCCCAGTAAATACAGAGAAAATACAAGCAGCTAATGTGATGGGTTAGCTACAGAAGGCTAGCTGTATGTTTTCAGGCTATTAGACAAATGATAATTCTTTAACCACAATAGGCATTGTAAGCATATATATTGTACATACATAATTCATATTGTTTTATCCAATATTAATCTAATGGCTTTCTTTCAGGGGTCCACAAAATCTATAAATGTGAAACAGCGGAGCTCCTTGCCAAGGTAAGAGAACTATCTGCTGATCAGAATAATGCAGTTTTCTTGTTCATTAAGGGACACAGGATTTAGTTAATCTGAGACAACTGGGTAATACTGCCCCCTATAGGCGGAATTGGACATTGTCAAAGAGTGTCCCCTAGTGTCCTAGTAGGATGGGCAGCTTTACTCTACTAAGAAAAGTTTAACCATTTTATTAGTCATTTTATTTTTTTCTCTAAAGATTTTTCTTTTGCTTAATTTAAGACTTCATCTGCACCCTGCTGATCTCAGGTCTTTATGCAGCTATCCAAGTTGGTTTATCCTCAGTTATGCCTTGGAGGCTGTACCGAGACCCTGCTGGACTGAAAATGGCAGGGACTGTAAGGAATGTGATGTTTAAGCACCAGGCACTGCATTTGGCACTTTCCAGACCATTGTGTACTGTGTTAGCTAAATGCAGAGGGCTCTCCATGTCCAGACCTGTGACATTTGGTGTGACCCAGTCTCCAATGACTTACTTTGAGAGTATGCCCATGGATGGGGCAATGATAACCTGGAATGTCACCTACAGGTAGTACCGCTCTCTGCTTGTGGTGCTTTCCAGACTTGTGTGTACTGTTTGTTAAAGCATTCTCCAGATTCTGGACAGTGGTAGGCAGCCTGCAACCTGCACACTGACCTTCACCAAAGAAACTTCTGAAAGGTAAAAATATATTTAAAAAAATTATTTTTATGTAGGCTGTGTGAATGGGAAAAACATCTTCAGGTCCTTTGAGCTGCAGGCTGCCCCAAGGCTTTCTGTCTGGTTATGTAGGCTTAATGTTTTGTTGCTGTTGCTCACTCAGTTGGACTGCTTTTGGATATCCAATTGTCTCTCAATAACTAAATCATGTGTCCCTTAATGAATGAGAAAGTAAACAGGGTTTTTGTACTTATGTAAAAATCTGTTTAGTGGAGTTTATTAAGGGATACAGTAAGGTTGTTTTCAAAAATAATTCAATAGTTTTTTATTTATCAATTAGGACCCTACAAATTGCATAAACAGAAAAAATACCTAAATCAAACCAATATTTAGTGTGTCCACCCTTCTAAAAACCAGTATCAACTCTCTGGGGTATACTTGCACACAATTTTTTACGGAGCTTGGCAGGTAGAGGTTTCCAAATATCTAGGAGAACTAAGCACAATTCTTATGTGGTTTTAGGTTTTTTAATTTGTAATGCCAAACAGACTTGGGGGATGGGGGATGGGGGATTTCTCACCTCCTGTCACTGCCTACATATTTGCCCCCAGTCCTGCCTCTTACACCCAAGCGCTAGGCCAGAGGACGCCTGTGAGTTGTAGGATCACAAGGTGCTTATATAAGGACTAGAAGTGACATAAGGCACTCTTTTAACCCCTCCTTCCTGTGGCTACAGCAGGCTAGAGATTTAAGGGCCCTGTGATGTCAGTGTCAAGAAGTGTGAAAATAGAAAGTAATCAAAAATGGTTTGCACATGCATTTCAAACCTAGTTCAGCACAGGGGCAGGGAGGTATAGAGCAAGTTTCATGTTTGCCCAGAATTCAGTCATCTTGTTGATCATTAGTTCATGTTTGATATAATTGTTTGTTCATGCACTGGACCATATAGCTGCAAAACTCCTAACTGTGTACCTAGGAGGATTGATGCTGTTTTAAAGGGTAGTCACTCGAAATGTTGATTTGATTTTGGTATTTTCTGTTTATGCACTTTGCAGGTTGATTCATAAATTGAATTATTTTTGAAACATCTTCTCTTTACCACACTTCCTCACAAGTGCCTAAAACTTTTGCACAGTACTGTACACGTAAGCTTGATATAAATAATGTTTTGATGCTTGTTACTGTTTTAAAAACCATTAAAGCCAAACTCGTGTTATACAAATAAAGGCAATTCAGTGCATTCTGCCCTTATGTACTACTTTTTGGTCTTAATCTGACACGCTCAGACCAACTTAATTGTAGTCTGATTCAGGTCTGGAGAAGGGGTCATCATTCGTTGCTTTGACTCCCCTAACTAAGGTTAGCTCCTCTGCTCTCCTCAGAGCAACTTCCCACACTGGCCCACTGTCAGCCAAGGGAGGGAGATGTGGAAATAGTATAATTTATTTCACTTTAGAATCCCTGCGATGATGCAAATATGACCTCAGCATGCATACCGTGGGGAAGGGGGGTCTTGACACCAGCACTGGTTCCAATGTAATCTGCAGCTCTGGTGTCAGCTGTGGCCAGAAGTACAGTGGAAGCTGTACACAGCCAAGCTTTGCATGGCTGAATAATATTAAAAAGACAACTTTACTAAGGTAAGGACATAAACTCCTATTGAAAACGGGGTGCCTGAAGTTTAGCTTTGATAAGCAATGCTTCTATATATAGCTTGTGCGCTGAAAGGGATTATTTTATAGTTTAGGCTGTGTGTAAATGTTTTTGTTAGTGGAGGGTTAAATGTTAGGGAGTGCCGTTGTTTAGAGGACACTTTTCTGCTTTGCGCAATTTACAGCTGCTTTAGGACTGACAATAATTTCAATGCTGGACTCCCAGGCTTAAGAAATTAACCTTCTGGAGTAAAATCTTGCTTTGTACTACCAGCATTTGTAAAGCACTTGTTCCCTTTCATGTTTATGTATTGTTTGCCCATGTCTTTACATTCTAAACCATGTTCTTTCTGTGTACATCTGCGTTGACAGTATTTCTTTTGTGTCCATTCAAAAATGTGATAGCTGGATTAGATTTTTGCCAAATGTTTTATTCTGTGTCTAAATCTTTTTCTTTTGATCCAGGAGTTTCAGCCTGGATCACGTCATGCAGCGCAATTACGACCTGGATCTAACATATATAACGGAGCGTATCATTAGTGTCTTCTTCCCCACCAACCTGGAGGAACAGCGATACCAAAGCAACCTGCGAGAAGTGGCTAGCATGCTAAGATCCAAACATGAGGACAAGTATTTGGTAAGTACTGGCATTTCAGGACTGTATAGCATGATGGTAATTCAAAGCAAATATATTTAATTTCAATACAAATCTTTTTTGTTTCAATACAAACCTTACAGATGTGAGGGTGACAAGGGCATGCCCATGATGACTTAAAGAGAAATTGTTTTTTCTCCATTATAACAAGAAGGGGGTTTCATATTTTGGAATTCTCTCCCACAGAAGGTGGTAGGGGAGACACTCTGTAAATGTGTGTGTGTGTGTGTGTGTGTGTGTGTAAATGAATGTGTGTGTGTGTACTATGGATGTCTTTCTGACTAGAAATAGTGTATTCAGTTATAATTAGTAGTGCAGTATTTGATCTAGGTAGGATATGGCATAAGCCATAAGGAAATATTTTTTTATATTATGAAATAATTTGACAGCATCTCTATGAGATTGCGTTTTGCCATCTTGTGGTTTTAAAAGAGTAATTAGATTTAAAGCTCCTCCCTAGGCAAAGAGAAAATGTTCACTTGCAGTGTGGCTCCTCTGCACTGCAAGGATTAAGCACTCATTTTTTCGAGGGTACTCAAATAAAGCTGTTTTACTTACCTGATCTCGGCTCCTGTGGCGGTCAGCAGTCACTTCTTCTCCCCCTCCACTCCAAATGTTTAAGTGTCCTCATGTCTAATGCAGTTCAGTGGATTTGCAAAAGACATGATGATGCCAGAGGTTTTGAGTTCTCTGGAGGGAAGGGGAGAAGAGGTTGTGGGAACTGGTCGAGCTGCCTGGATGAAGATGGCAGGAGGGGAATTCGGGTAAGTAAAACAGCTTTATTAGTCTGGTCGGAAATAGGCTTTAAAATAGCCACACGTGTTACAACACGGTTGTACTATCTAGCAGATTTACCTGCAACCTAACTAGTACAATGGTCTTCCTGATTGCATATATATATGGATCAGATTGTTTTGGTAAGTCCGGGTAAATCTAATGCAGGTGGTACAGGCTTTAGAACAGTATACACTTGATGGTCCTCCTTTCTCTTTTAATATTATTTATTATGTTCCTGTTATGACTGTGTATAGTCTTATATACATTTACAGTGTGAATGTTCATTATTGTCACTAGCTGCTATAAATTCACTTCTTGTCAGAAAGAATTACACAAAAGTACTGCTGATGATGAGTCTGCTGTTTTGTATGGGACTGTAAATAAGAATGTAAAGAAGTAAATGTATAACTGTATTGTGTGTTTGAATCCTAATTACCTTGTTTTGTTTTACAGCTTTTTAACTTATCACGGAAAAGACATGATATACGCAAGCTCAACCCAAAGGTAAAAATATTGGCTGCACCTATTACACTGTCAATACATGTGCAGATCAGGCCATGGTTGGCCCACTGGAGCCACAGTCATAACCAGATTTCACAGATATAGGCAGAAATTGTAGTAAGTAAACAATTGGGGCTTTTTATGCCATGGCAACACCACAAATACCCTTCTTGTCTTCACAGATATAGGCGTTCAGCACCCAGACCACCCCCACATGTTTCTTCCCAAACATTCAGTATATAATGTAGTAGCTGCCGGGCTCCAGAGTTGTTGGTGGCCCTAACACAAGATAACATTGCTTCTTTTAGTTAGTGTCTCCTGTTGTAGCAAAAGATGAGTGTTCTAGGAAAGAGTTTTATGTCACATGTCAGTAGGGCTGCACTAGCTACTGCACAGCCGCTATACCTTACTTGGCCTATTTGATCTTCTATTTTTTTCAAATTTGGTTTGTGGTGTCTCATATCGTTATCACCATACATGTGGTGTCTCATTCCTTCTTTGTGCCCTAGGTCCAGGACTTTTTCTGGCCGGATTGCCATGCACCTCCGCTGGATGTCATCTGTTCCATCTGTAAAGCAATAGAGGCCTGGCTGAACTCAGACCCCCAGCATGTTGTGGTTCTTCACTGCAAGGTACAGACTGAGATGATTACACATGAGGATTATCTCACACGTGATTGTATGGAAATGTGTAAATATGATTTGGTGATTGATGTCTACTGCTTCCTGCTTTAGATGTGTAACTCTCATTTCTATCTGTGTGTCAGGGAAATCAGGGGAAGACTGGAGTGGTCATAGCATCCTACATGCACTACAGCAAGGTCTCTGCGAGGTATGCCCCATATGCTTCATCTCTAGGTTTCATTTGTGGTTTCATATGATGGGTACAAAAATGTGTTTTGTGGTTTTGGGAGTATAATGTGGCTGGTTGCAGAAGATGGAAAGGGTTTTGACTCGTACAGGACTCTTACTAGAGTGGCAAAAAAGGCATCCAGATACCTATTAATCAGCTAATTTCAGCCCCCTACTCCTAGATCCGTTCCCATCTTCTCTGTTCTACTCTACATTGATAGGTCAGCAGATAAAAACTTACAAGCTTATGGAGCATCCTACAAGTATCTTGTCCTCGGGGTACTCATATAATGCATGTACAAACAGTTGCCCTCTTAACTTTGCAGCTTTGGAACAGCGAAACTTGGCCCCATATTTACAAAAGATATTTGCTTATGCTTTTGGGACAAATCCAGATCCAGCGTAGTCAATAGCCTGACTTAAAACATAACATTATATTACATTGAGTGTAGATCTATATATTTATTTATTATAGATGATTCTCTCTTCCAAAATATTACACATGCCAAAATAAAAATCTGCATATCACTGGTCAACTGAAGATATACTGTATTTTTGTCTGCTCTTTTATTTGATCTCTGTAAAAAAAAGTTGAGTTAATTATGTAATTTAAAAGCAAGTGATGCCCTTAAATTTTTAGAATTTGCATGCGAGTATGGATCCATTAAATCACAAAAATGGCCCAAATAGTAAAATCTCCCTGCGGATGGACCCTATCTTTTCACCAAGCAATGCATCAGTTAACAGTACACTGAATGGGTCCTGGCACTCATGAGACTTGTTTCAGGGAAAGCAAATATCTCTCCTGTTGCTTTTGGGGAAATATCTGTCAGTCCATAGATATTTCTGATATTCGCTCAGTATATGGCTAAGAACAAACAACCAAGTAGATCAATACTATACAGTAATTTTGTTATTTTTGCTCCAGTGTATTTTTGTTTGCAGTGTGAAGCATTGTGTCTGTACAACTAACGTTTGCAGACATATTTTCATGTCTTTGTGATTGATTTTCACCTGCCATGCTGTGTTTTGAGATCTTCTTGCTCCCTTCTTCCCCTGACTGTTAATCACATGCCCGGTTTCCGTTCCCTTTCTGTAGTGTGGATCAGGCTCTCGGCACTCTGGCCATGAGAAAGTTTTGTGAAGATAAGGTCTCTTCATCACTTCATCCATCCCAGCGCAGGTCAGTAAAGGGAAGCTGTGCTGAACCCATGACTTCAATCATTACTCCTTGCTCACAGGCAATGCCTTAACCCTGCACTGATGTTTTGTTCGCATCTAGCTGGAAAATCAGGAGCTTTTCCTGCCGCAGCAGAGAAATACTCCATTGCCCTGTATCCTGTTATCATGAACTGCAGAAAGCTATTCACGGATCTTGTTTCCTGTGACAGCGATTGGCAGAATTACAGTTTCACTTGTTTTCCAGCAGGTTTGACAGGGAAAATTCTTGTTAAACCAGTATGTGGCATACAGTTGTACAATTTGCTGCCCTCCAGTTGGTGAGGGACTACAGCACATCCTGTCATTGTAGGCTTTCAGGCCCCTAACAGTTGCAGGACAGGTTGCACATGGCTGCTTAATTGTTCAAAACTCATGTAACCTTCATATAACACATGCTTACTCTACCTTTAATAAGTCTAATGCTGGCAATACACCTGCAGATTGTTTTTTTGCTCAGTCTATGGACTGAACATAAAAAAAATCTAACAGGTTCCTCCATCCACGCTAAATAGTGTGGATGGGTGAATGCCCCCCTCCCTGCTGATTGTCAAAGTGCTTGAATAGTGCCTGCATCTGACTGGAGGCAGGTGCTGTTAACCTGACAATTTTCACCTGGCTCTTTTCAATTAAAGCAAATGGGTGGAAGCCAGCAGACTGGGGCACCCACTGAATTTCCGCTAGTTCATCATGAACTTTCTGATATTCGCTCAGTATATGGCTAACTTAAGGGCAATTTGCAAAACACCATAACCCTTAGTAACCAGTCAGCAACTATTTCCATTATTTTGATGAAAGCTGACCTCTGGTTACAATGGGTTTCTAGTCTTTGCAGATTATTATTTCTTTTGTTGACTTTTTCAGTCTGAAATCACGTGAATTGCTATCATATAAGAGGTATGAATTCTATACCATGTACATGCTTACATGTAAGGTACAAGTGCAAAGAGTAAGGTTGTCACATAATAAAAAGGTTGTTGGCACAATCATACTTTAGCCCGGAAGTTCTTTGAGTCTGTTGAAAATATGTTGAGCAACCCACCCAAAAGAAAAAAATGTCAGCTCAGTGGTTTACCCACAGGGAAGTGTCCCTACATACTCTGAATAGCAGATGTTCAACCTATTGTAAAATAAATAATCATTCTATGCACTATGCATAACAATTAGGTGATTTCCATGCTGTTTCTTTAGAATTGGATAAGTCTGCTTGTCTATAGAGGCACAACAGACTATTACAGGGCGAGGGCTATTACCAGTTTGGAAATCTCACCTGTGTTCTACATTGTTCCCCAGTAGGGGTAGCCAGGGAATATCTACACCTTACACAAACCTACACACGTGTATAATACAACTGTACGTGTGTATGTGGTTGTTATTGACTGCCACCAAATATCTAGCAAAGTTGGATGTTTTGGTGAAATACAGAGCTTCCTCTAGAGGCTAATCTAGAAATATCTATATTTAATGCTCTAATAACACTATAAAACGGCATGCATGTAAAAATGTGAAAGTCGCATATAAAAGGTAAACTCTCTGATAATTTACTTAAAATAAGAATACCTTTACATTGCCTATCTGTACCACTGGAAAGAATGCACTAGAGCCTTGGTTCTCAACTGGTGGGTCGTGACCCAAAAGTGGGTCGCGGCCTCGTGCTCAGTGGGTCGCCGCATGCCTTCCACTTTTCTAGGCTCCTCTGCCTCCCCCTAGGGCCCGTTCACACTAGTACATTGCATTAATCGCATAGTACCATGTGATTAACGCACTGTACCACGCAATCACACCTACCATGCATTCTGGTGTGGGAGGTGTGTTACCGTGCCATTCATTTGAATGGTATCCCAAACGCATTTCACACCCACAGCTTGTACGCCTGCACCAGAAAGCACGGTACCCTAATGCTGTGTATTCCATTACAGTGTGATTTGGGTCACGACTTAATGACCGAGGACAAATGTGGGTCCTGAGGTTACACAGGTTGAGAACCACTGCACTAGAGGGATCACCAGCAGGAGAAAGGAGATCTTGATTACACTATATAGATCTTTAGTTAGACCTCATTTAGAATACTGTTTCAGTTCTGGAGATATAAGATGGAATGAGTACAGAGATGGGCAACAAAAATGGTGAAAGGTATGAGGGATAAAACATCAGGGGAGACTGCAGGAACTTAATATGCACAGTCTTGTGGAAAGAAGGGAAAGGGTGACATGACTGAAACCTTTAAATATATTAAGTGTATGAATAAGGTTCAAGAGGGCAATATTTTCTAGCAGCTAAGATTGAGAACATGAAGGCATGACCTCAAACTGGTGGGAGAAAGGTTCAAAACTAGTCTTAGAAATTATTTTACCAAAACATTAGTTGAAGCTTGAACAGACTTCCAACAAAGGTAGTGAGTCAGTGAACAGTAAATTAATTTAAACACACGGAAAAATACAATCAAAATGTCTGTCATTTCTGCCATCACCCTCCTAGGTTTCTATTTATGCAAATGGATGCAAACACATATATGGTTCCTGTTCATTTTCTTTGTGTTTCAGTGGATTTTTCCGATATGTTTTAATGTAAAGTTTTTAGTTTTTTTTTTTAAATATGAATGGCTTAGATACATCACATGCCTGTTTTACAATGCATTTCCATACCACTTTGTTACATCTTGTTACATATTCTGACTGCGGAGAAATAGATCCAGATGCATCCTACCGTGAAACCACAACACAGTACATTCAGAACATGTCAGATTATACTTATGTGTTAAAATAAGAGAATGGACGTATACTTGAAAACCCCCAAAGAAGTCTCATTATTGTTGAGGGAACCTTAGACAAATCCAATTGTACAAATATTATTAATTGTTAGTAGGCATGTCAGAAGGGCACCTGGATTTAATAAAATGTCACAGAATATTGATGTGCTCCTAAATGGTCGTTGACTTGTCCGATGAAAGACCGGTTCCGGTTAGTGACGGTGAGTGCGGTTAATGAACATCTATGTTTGTATCTAGTGAGTACAGCAGCTCTTGGCATGTTAGCCAATTCTTACACTTAAAGTGACATTAAACCCTCAGATTTTTTAACATAAACCAATACTGTAATGTGTGCCTTACTGTAATCCATGGTTGTTTCCCTTCTCTTTGCTGCTCTTCCTTTTAAATCTGTATCTCTTCTCGTGCTTGGGGAGAACTTCCCTTTGCAGCTGAGTGCCTCTTCCTGTAGTGCTGGCTCAGGTTGCAATGTACACACAGACACCATGTATCCATTCCAGAGACAAGGCAGTCTGCTGCAAAACAGAAGTTCTGCCCAGCATGAGAAGAGATACAGATTTAAAAAGGAAGAGCAGCAAAGAGAAGGGAAACAACCATGGATTACAGTAAGGCACACATTACACTATTGTTTTATGTTAAAAAATCTGAGGGTTTAATGTCACTTTAAGTGTGCATATTCAGTAATTATTCTGAACATAGATTGTTATTGTATTGAATATGACTCAGCTCTGGGTGATCATAGACATTTTGCTGAATCTCTAAGTTTAGCTCCATAGGTGTTGCTTCTTAGCATTTTTTTCAGGTTGGTGCCTTTGTCAGCGAATGTATGATTTACTAACTATATGTCACCTTTGTACACAGATATATCAATTATTTTGGTGGTCTGCTGTCTAGCACCATAAAGATCAGCAGTGATATGTTGTCCCTGCAGTGTGTGTTACTGCCCGTTATTCCAGCTCTGCAGATAGATGGAGGTAAGCATTCAGTAAGCATTCAATTTGACATCTACCCCCAAAGTGGACTGATATATGGCCATACAAATAAGTGCATATAGGGCAGTACAGCCTACGGCACATTACCTAAAGAGCTATTGATGACCGGCACAAACAATAAATCATTTCTCTTTAATGTATGTAGAGATTCTTTTTCATTACATTATAATATTACTTGTGTTCTTCTTTTTTTATGTGTTTTTTAAGATTTGCAAATGATAAAGATCATCTAGACAAAAAATATTTTCAATGTATATTAATGTTTTTATAGGTTTTAATGATATATGTACAGTACATGTGTGCGGGGTCATTGTTCCTTCTTTACATCACTTAATCCATCTTTGCCATGCTGCACAGTGGCTGTGCTTTTCTTCTTCTCCTTTGCACAATATAAACTGTTGCTTGCTATGGCCATTTTGAATCAATATTATAATGCAGACACTGAGCAGTATAGAGAGTTCCTGGCTCTTTGCAGATCTTTATAGATTTATAGAGTTGGAGACTTGAAAATGAATGCTTTTCCACAGCTAAAAACTCAGTAGCAGTATGAAATTGATTTCAACCTTCTCTGTTTGCTTTAGAACACTGTTTTGCTTCATGTGGGGCAGTTTAAAGTATATTTAAAGAAAAAAACATTTCTTTTTACATGTTAGATGGCCTAGAGAAGGGGTAGGCAAACTGCGGTCCTCAAGCTCTGGTGAAATTACAAATCCCATTATGCATCTGCCTCTGGAAGTCATGTCTGTTGTTGTCAGAGTCTTGCAATGCCTAATGGGATTTGTAGTTGCACCACAGCTGGAGGATCGAAGTTTGTACATGTGCTTCTTATATCTCCCGGCTCCTGTCCTCGAGACAACTCTGAATTTTGAATTGACCTCTCACTTTCATGCTCATTGACATGTGTGATGAGGACAATCAGAGAGTGAATCTTCCTAACAGGACACATGCAATGAAAACCTGACAGAGGTGCCAGCCCCCTCATCGCTCTATCCAGATCTATAGTTTTCATAACACAAATGTCTGTGTATTTATTTATTTAACGGAGTATAATTTTCAGTGAAACAATATTTCTCCACTTGAATGTAATGGGGACTAAATCAGGCCTCACAATACATGACAATACAGATCAGCCTGAGCAGGGAGTATGTGGGTGACCATTCTCCAGAGATGTCTGTTCTCCATATCTATGACTGTAAATATTTGAGCAATGACGTTTCATTATTCTGCGGTCCTGATTTTCTGTGTCATTGTTCTACAATTAATTTCTTCTATATGGTGCTCATTATACAGTTGTCTCAGACACATGTGCTTCTTATAACTCCCAGCTCCCTCTGACATCTGTTTCTCAGGCACAGTTATAGAGTGTGTGTGTGTGTGTGTGTGTGTGTGTGTGTGTGTGTGTGTGCGTGTGTGTGTGCAAATCCCGCTGATGTCTCTGACTAACTGCATTGGCTTCCATAGCTCGCTGTTATTTGGAAACTTAATAGCATCCAACTTTCAATAGGAAACCATAATCTATACGTTCTGGCACACCAGATGTAATCCGAGCATGCATATAAAGAGGAACTCTGCTAACCCCATAATGTCATCCAAATGCAGATTCATAGAAAAATATTTTCTGGAGAACAAAAGAAATCCTGGTGTCTTCATGCATCTTTCTGTCACATGTGGGAGAATTAAAGACGTATCACGCCTTTTGTAAAATTTTGTATAAATGCTGCTAAACTAAAAAAAAAAATACATTTTATTTTTTTTTGCATTGGAGCATTGCATCCGAAATACGTGCATTGCATGTGCATTGCCTCAACTCCTCAAGACTATTCCCACAGTGTCTGTACAGAGGTACCCACATTCCATTGTGAAGTAATCAATGTATTACAAATGGTGTGATGTCACCACGCTTGTGCACCATTGAGAACTCCTGGTTTCTTTGCTGCAGTGGCAGATAGGTCTTGCAGTTTTTCTAATTACAGATCCTGTCAATAGATCTGTAAATACAGGGCTGGGCAACTCAGGCCCTCCAGCTGTGGTGAAACTACAAATGCCATCATGCATCTGCAGGGCTTGAAAAATTCCCATAGGCGACGATTAAAACGCTTTTACTGTTCATCAGTTTAGTGTTATCAGTGATCAAAGGAGAACTATGGGGTTAGGGATTTTCCCCATAGTTCTCCTTAGGGTAACGGGAGGACACAAATTAGCGTCCTCCCGTCAACCTAAGCTCAGTATATAGGGAGCTGCAGCTCGCGGTATACTGAGACGCCGCAGCTGAAGCGGATCCCGACAATTATGTCTGGATCCGCCCAGCTGCGTGAGTGACAGCTGGCTCTGCCTATCTAGAGGCAGAGCCAGCTGTACCTGCCCCTCCCCCATCCGTTCTGCCAGTCAGCGCTGGTGGATCGGAGCGGGGAGGGGGGAATCCAGCCCCTCCCCTGTCACGGCAGAGAGCCGTGACAGGATCGAGAAGTGAGCGTATGCTGGTATGTGTTCGCTCACTTCCCGATCTACTGAGCCGACCTGTGACAATCTCATTGTCACAGGTCGGCTAGAACTATGAGGTGAGTGAAAAGCACTCACCTCATAGTTCTCCTTTAGGCTGGGTTCCCACCTAGGCGGTCGAAATATGCGTGTATGACGCGCGTTTTGGGGTGCATGTTATAACCGCGATATGCAGCCCTCAAAGCGCGCGTCAAACGCGCGTTTACGAGGGCTATCCGGCTGTATCCCAATGGATACGTGCAGACGTAGGGCGTATTTCAGCACTTTACGACACGCTGAAATACACCCAAGTGAGAACCATGCCCATAGGAAATAATGGGACTTCATTTGATGGGCGTGTGAACCCGGCCTTAATGGCTCTAAAATTATTGCTCTCACTCCGACGTTTGCGGCAATATGCAACATGTGCGGCACGTAGGCTCACCTGACGCATATATGCGTGTGTATGTGGGGGGCGGGGACTTAAAAAAAAATTTTATGTTTCTTTATTTTTTTGAATAAATCTTTCATTTTTGTATTACTTTTTTTTTGTTTTTTTTACACCGGGCACAGCGGATCTCGGGATCGGCAACGGCAGTGACAGCTGCTGATACAAGCGATGGAGCGTCTCTCGAGACGCTCGAGCGCTTGACTGTAAAGCTCCCGGCCGGCCGTGTAATTACAACGGCCGGCCGGGAAGCTGCTCATCGGGCTCCACCGTCCTCTCGTCGCAGACGAGTGGATTTTTCAAGCCCTGTGCATCTGTCTCTGGGAGTAATGCCTGGGGCTGTCTTGCAATGTCTTATGGGACTCGTAGTTACACAATAGTTGGAGGACCAGAGTTTAGCCACCCCTGTGTAAATAGGTGATGTTGCTGTAGAGGCAGATCCATTATTTAGCTGCACCAATTAAAAAAAACATAAAGAATGCTGCGTGGAAAGGAACCCCATGATTCAGGTAACAGGAGGAGCAGTTTAAGGTTGGAGGGGGCGGGGGGGCTACGGAGTGGCATCATGTCCCATGTTACATCCTAAATATGGGTGTAACATGAAACATGGTATAAAAGGTAGAATTAGCCTTTAAATACATTGGGACCAATATGTGGGCTCTTCTCCATATTAGCATGTGGTAGCTATCAGTGGGGGGTTTAGATTAACTGCCAGGATACATTTACTCTGAGAAATATGTAGAGTAGTCTGGCATGGCTGACCTCTTTCTGAAATTGCTACATGCTTGGCTGTATTTCTGAACTATTGGCTTCAGAATGTTGTTACTTTTCAGCTTTCTCTTATTGTTAACAGCTATTCCTTCACCTTTCCTGGTCATCCGTAACAAACTCACATACAGGATACTATTGACCATACAGATGTAGGTCAGTAAGCTCTTGTGGGACAACCAACTTTCACAAAGGATGCAGTTCCCAGTCCACTCCCAGCCATTAACTTTTTATCTGCTTGCAGTCATTGTTATCTGGGCATCTCTTATCCTGGGAGGAGTTGCATGTAATCCTAAATCCGTGGTTTGCAATACAAAGAATGTGTTAGAAATAAACTAGACTAGATAAGAAGAGGTTTCTTCCCCAACCCTTTCCATATGGCAATCACGTGTGTTGTCCTCTGTATTTTGTACATGTATTTTGTACATGACCCCTATAGAACAACAAGTTTGGAATCGCTATAAAATACCTGAATGATATTCCTTTGTTTTCTGGCCCTGGAACAATAAAGCGGACTAAATCCATTGGATAGGCTCTTTCCAGTTAGTCTGAGACAGTTTACCTTGGACGTAGAAGTATAGGAAACATTATTTCTGGATGTCTGAACTTGCATCCTTCGGGGCTTTCTGGAGGTCAGAGCTCAAGACATCTTAGCTACTTGTTCCATAGACATGGCCTTGTTTGAACCTTACTCATCCCTAGTGGGTTTCTGATGCACATTTATGTAGCATAATGTGCCCAATGCCCATGTGTTTACCATCTGCAGCAATAAACCAGTGCTATTTCACATGTGTCTTCATAACTGCTTTCGTCTGTTATATCTTTCACATTCTTGTCCATGCCACATAAAATACCAGGAATGCCTGGGTGTGATTTCCTCCACCTGCGTGCCTTGTTCTAACTCCTCTTTTACTTGAGCATTGTTTAATTTTATTGACTTTCTTTCACAGGATTCCGCCTTTTTCTGAAGATCTACCAGTCCATGCAGCTGGTCTACACCTCTGGAATCTAGTAGGTTTTATCTATGATTCTTGTTGTATTTCCCTATTTTATTCTTATTACTGGAGCTCACCTTCTCTTCTTTTTCTAAAGCCTTGCAGATGGTGCAAGTCAAAGACGGCAACTATGCATAAGTCTGGAGCCGGCCTTGCTGCTTAAAGGTGATATCATGGTATGTACCAGAGAAGAACACCAATCTGCAGTGCAAGGGAAGTGTAGGGCCGCTGCTCATGGTGACCAATCAGGTTTTTGCTTTCATGTTTTGAACATAGTTACATAGTATTTGAGGTTGAATAAAGACGTTAGTCCATCAAGTCCAACCTATGCTTTCAGAAGCTGTAACTTGTGATTTGGTTTCCACTTTAATTTCCTCCTGTATTTATAATTCTGTCCATCTGTATGTCTGGGGGGAAAAAGCGAAGTGCACCTGTAATTGTAGTTATCTTCTTAGCCCACTGGGACAGAGAAATATTAAAGTTGTGGTAACCACAGAACGGGTTCTGATGTTTATGGAAAAATCACATTATCTACGGCAGACTGTGCAGTAACAGCTGTAACATCTGGTGGTAAAACCTGAAACAAGCTCACTTTCTCAGATAGAAATACAGTCTGCTCCTCAGAAATGTGATTGTAATGTCTGCTGGAGTTTAAGAAAAGGTATGAGGCACCAAGGACTTCATTTAATGCTATGTATCAAGCCAAAGCCATCAAATATTAGCTTTTTGAAAATCCTTATTAGAGTAGACTGTTGTATGTCTGGTTGAATAAAGTTTTCACCACACACAACACTCTCTTCATGCTATATACACCTTAACATGCATAGATGGTGCTGGAAAAGTAATCATCATCTTTGTTTTTAGATAGAATATTCAATGAGAGTAATTTATCGTATAAACATGTTTAGGGGTGCACTCAGTCCTAACATAGAAACATATAACCCCGACACATTAAGGATTTAATAAAATGATATTTCTTCACAGCTCATCCTTTAAAGTGTATGTACAGTATAGCCAAAACATTTCTTTTAGTATTGGATGGAGTAGAGAAGGATTCAAACCCCTTAAGCTGTTGTGGAGCTTTCCCTTCACTTCATGTCCCAGTGATGCAGCAGTAAGTGAGATCAAAAGATTTTCCCTCCCTTCCGTAAAAGTTTGGATTATCACTGTCTCCTCTTTGGGATTAATAGAGAGGGTGAATCTACCCATCAGGACCATAAACAAAAACTTTAAACATTTTCCATTTCGGTGCAAGACTTATTTTTTTCTTCTCATTAGCAAATTAAAGAACAACTCCAGGCACATAAAAAAAATGATCCCTTGCAGTGGGGCTACCCCAGCACTGCAAGGGTTAGGTGCTCGTTTTGGTCTAAGGTCTAAAATAAAAAAATATATGCTCGTCCGATCCTCTGTCCCGCATGGCTGCTAGACTGGTCCCTGCAGCCTCTTCTTCCCCAGGTTCTAGCGGTCTAAGCATCCATGATGTCATCATGTCCATTGACTTGCATTGAACATGAGGATGCCGAGGGGTATACTACAGCTAGAGTGGAGGGAGTGGGAGGTGAGTGGTCATGGCCGTGGGACAGAGAATCAGGTGAGTATATCATCTTTATTTTAGGCCAAAACTAGTACTTAAAGGAGAACTATGGGGTCAGTGTTTTTCCCCATAGTTCTCCTTGGGGTAACGGGAGGACACAAACTAGCGTCCTCCCGTTACCCTAAGCTCAGTATACTGCGAGCTACAGCTCGCGGTATACTGAGACGCCGCACCTGCAGCGGATCCCGACTTAGATGACACGATCCGCCCAGCTGCGTGAGTGACAGCTGGCTCTGCCTATCTAGAGGCAGAGCCAGCTGTACCCGCCCCCTCCCCCGTCCGTTCCGCCAGTCAGCGCTGGCAGATCGAAGCGGGGATAGGGGAATCCAGCCCCTCCCCCTGTCACGGCAGAGAGCCGTGACAGGATCGAGAGGTGAGGGAACCCGGTATGTGTTCTCTCACCTCCCGATCTACTGAGCCGACCTGTGACAGTCTCATTGTCACAGGTCGGCTTAGAACTATGAGGTGAGTGGAAATCACTCATGTCATAGTTCTCCTTTAATCCTTGCTGTGTGGGGGTAGCCCCACTGTAAGGGTTAATATTTTACATGCCTAGAGTTTTTATTTACAGCATATCTAAACCCAAGGGCAAAAATTAAATATACAGCAGCGTACCAGTCCTAAGATGTGGTGGTTGCATTTGCTTTGTTTTCCCCCATCTGGTTCCTCCCTTTCCATCTGGTGATCCTGCCAGTAACACACTGGCCCCAGGCTGACCGGCATGGCAGGATCACCAGGCATTACTTTCATGAACTATGCATACTTCAAATGATTATAATCAAATTTTGACATTACATTAACATGTTGACGCTTATGATATTTTTGTGATTGGGTTTCATTCTATGGAAAGTAACCAACCCCTCAAACTGCAATTCTTCTGCAATGTGACTGAATATGGCCAATTGGGTGACAGTAGTCTCATCTCTGTTGATATCTTTATTGTTTATTGCTTTCTGATGTTTTTACAGCTCCGTCTGTAGTTGGGATTTGTAAGCAGCAATACCCTTTGTGTTCCACAGGTGAAATGTTATCACAAGCGCTGCAATCCTCTTGAGAGAGAAGTGCTCTTCAGACTTCAGTTCCATACATGCACCATTCACAACACCCATCTGTGCTTCAGTAAGGACCAGCTGGACTGTGCTTGTACAGGTGAGGAGAAACTTCATATACAGTGCAGCTACAAATTGTCTACAGACTTCTGCAAGGATGGCTGTACAAGGGTTGGTATTCGCAGAGTAGGGAGCAGTGCGAAATCTGCTATTTTGGATCGTTGCCATGAACCATGTCTTCCTTCCTTTACTTAGCTTTTTGGCCAGCGTTACTGAATGACATGTATAGGGTGGTGGGGGGAGTTCTGTGCAAAAACAGAGAACTATCACTAGTCAGGGTAGCTCTTTACCATGATGACAACGAGCACTTATATGCACATGTGCTCTTTTATGCTTGTACAGCCATCCTAGACCATCTATCAGATAAGAGATATGAGAATATGTAAAGATGCTTTAATTAACAACAGTTTAATAACTTTTAGAATTAATCGACCCAAAATGACAGTTGGGCCACAACAGCAAGGTCTTAAACTTACCACGAGACCAAGTAGTTGGCATTGCCTGTCAGCACATACCTGTTACTTTAACATTTGTTACTTGGGAGCTGCCTGGAGCACCAGCCAACATTTCATCTTGGAGAGCGCCCCTAACCCACAGTGCAGTGCCTGGGTTCCGGATGACCTTTCAGCAGGCCTGTGCATTGTCATATAGGGGTCGGAGAGTGTATATGCTCATGCCTTATGCTGTGAGCTACCTTTTTCTGCTGTAGGTTTAGCATGTCCCTGCTTGAGGGCTGAAATCTGAAGTGAAGCCCCACCAACTGTTTTGGCCATAAAAGAAGAACATAGAATTCATTTCTGATTACAGCTTTCAGCCAGCCAAAGCCCAAATGCAATTGGGATGGAAACACATGTATGGGATGGATATGCAGATAGCGATCAGGGTTTATGTACAGGTACAGATTACTAATCTGGATGTAGCTTTATACATTTAATCACCTGACCACATACTGTGTAACACACATTAAAGCGCCATCTGTGTACTGTATTCAAATGTAGTCACTTATCTCAGTCTGAGGTAAATAAACATATGTAACCTTCCATCATGTTTTATGTCATTTGGTGTTATAAAACATGGAATGTGAAATACTTTACACGGTGACATTATTTTTTTTCTTTTTTGGTCATATTTTAAAGTGCTCATTGATTGAAACCAGTTGCATGTGCCTTGGAATTAATCCAAGTCGTCTAATGCAGTTCCTTAGCATAGAAGCTTATAGTCTTATAGTCTTTCTCTACTCTTAGATGGAAGATTCCCTGAAGATGCAGCTGTTGAGTTGATCTTTTCCTCTGCCCAGGACAAGGCAAAAGGTGAGTCCATAGCTACATTTCCCTGCCCTAAAAATACATGTAAACCTTTATAAAAGCCAGTGTGTGCTGCATTTGCAGAATAGGTCACCAATTGCTCCCTCCACGTTTCTCTCAAAAAAGGATAAACCTTATTATGTTATTAGACTGGGGTTCTTCTTTACAGTAAGCATCTGACTTGTTTGTCATTTTTCATTTCTTCCGGTTTATATGAAGTCTTGTTTCAGTTTTGGCTACAGAATGTGGCAAAATGGGTAATCGCATAATCTCATTCTGGTAATCTTCCTCAGTATCTGTCCTGCTTTGTCTTACTGTGTTATGACCCACTGCTACATATATCTTGCCCCCCTTAAATTTGTTTGGACAGGGACCTCCTCACCTACCTTTTCTGGATGTCAATGATGCTTGTCTTGTCTAAACGATTGTACAGCGCTGGGGAATTTGTTGGCGCTATATAAATAATTGTACATTTCTGTTCTGACCTTTCGTGCCATTTGAGTTCTTACATACACATCTGGCTCCCACCTACACAGCACTTCAGTGTTATGTCTGCTTCTCTTCCTGTAGTCCTCTGATATGTCATATCTTCCCCAATCATTAAAGGGCGAGATGTAGTCCGGAAGGATCCCAGCATTTCGGTGGACTATGACATCACTGATCCATTAGTACGTTATGACTCCTATGAGAACCTCAACGTTAACCATGAGGACTGCCCGGAGGGTAAGTTGACCACATGTGTCATATAAGCCTTGAGCAGACGTGTTTAAGGCACAACATGAGGGTTCCTTTCATTCAGTGCCTGTGTTGTAGTTTACGCTGGAGGGGGAGATTTAGAGGATTAGTCATTTCTTTTGAAATGATTAGTAAGTAAGCAGCAGTTTTATAGAGGTTTGAATTCAGCTTAATATTCTGGTGACCTTCAGTGACTGTGGGCTTTAGCTAAAACAATGACATGTTTAAAGCATTTAAGTATTTTATGTTTGTGTGACTAACATTGGTGATTCAATGGGAAAGGATATAGACTAGAGACATATGTCTCCTGAATTCCAGGCAAAATCTATTTTATTTATGTTTATTGTTCGATAGCCGCAAAGGATATAAATTTGATTTGTAGTCACTAATTGCCTTTGGAAACCCAGACATTGATCTGTAAAAGTAGCAGTGACATCCTCACTGTGCTGGTGACATCCTTACTGTGCTGGTGACATCCTTACTGTGCTGGTGACATCCTCACTGTGCTGGTGACCTCATCACTGTGCTGCCTGTGCAGAGATCAGAGCTGTAGGTGGGACCTAGCAGGTCCTACCACTACAGGCTGCCTTCAGAAAACTATGGATACAAGACCAGTCACCCTGCACAAGGTGAGAGAGCAGCAGTGACCGTTCTTTATTACAGGAAGTTCCTGCACAGAGGTAAAAGTGCAGGAGTTGTTTTATACTGGATTACTGCACAGATTAGGAACTACACAAAGGGTACCAATATTCTAGGAATACACTTTGTATTTGGACAATATTTGTTTAAGTCGGAGTTCAGCTTTAATTTTTTTAACCCCTTCATGATTGAGCTTGTGTTTAGTTTCTGTTTGTTAATGACTGACAAACTTTGACATTTTTGCTGTGTGATTCTTCCATGTCAGTAATATACTGTCTTACAAAGTGCACCCACACATATTATATATTATTTAGAGGACAGATAGGGCTATATATTTATATCACTTATGTGTAGCTAACGCCTGACTTAGGACAAAATCTTGGCCTAAAACTTAAACCTAACATTTTAATCTTTTTCTCTAAAAGTGGTCACCTGGCATATAATGTCACTAAGTGTCACACATAGCGACAGCGACCTACTTTGAACATTACTGTCATGAGGGGGTTAAATAAATAAAAAATTACCCCTTAGGGTGAAAAACAAATCTGCAGCTCAGCTGCAGATTTTCATTGTAATGGGTTAATTTTTATATTAATGATAGTATAAAAATATATTTAAATAAATAATTGTTATTTTGTTATATTTAGTTTTGTTTGTTTTTTACACTTTTATTTTTTACTTTTCACTATTTTTTAAAAACATTTTTATTTTATTTATTAAATGAAATTATCAAGCAGTAATAGTGAGATTAAGTCACAATGACTGCTTGATATAGTTAATAAATTTTTGGTTATTATTAGTCTACTTCAAACTTAAGAACAGCCAATAATAATCTTAGTGATACTGACCCTACAGCATTTTAGGATCAGTTGTCACTAAAGGTTTTCTGATCTTTCCAACAACAATCAGAAACCTGCAACATTGTTTTAGCAATAGAAACATGTAGCTAAATGTTTCTATTGCTGAAAGTTTAGAAAAACAAAAAGCCTAACAAACTCTGATTTATTGAACAACTGCACAAACTTATATACAGCAAGTGATGAAATCAGAATATAATCCCATCACATCCCCCGTCCCCTCCCTGGACATTCTGTCTTCATAACACCACAGGTGTCCACCTGCTAACGAGCTCCAGACAGCCATAACAGAAGCCTGGCCAGAATGTCATTGTTCTGAGCTCCCTCAGAGAACAATAGGAGATAACGAGGGATGGTTCTGATAGTCTTTCCATAACCAGGTCACACAGCATAACGCACTCAAAACATAACTCAACACCAATACACATTTAACTTATAAACTGATCACCATGTTGTCACACCGGTATACATCAGGATTTCCCGATCTATAACAGCTGTCAGTGACGGCTAGGGTTGCAAATGTGGCTCTGCTCTCACTCTGACACCCGATTCCTGAAAGGGATCAGGTGCCTGAAAAAGCTTAACTCTTTCGCCTCAATACTGAGTCATCCATTAATGAACGGTAACCACTGAGAATCAGCGGTTACCGTTCATTAATGGATGACTCAGTATTGAGGCCATAAATAGCTGATCACGTACAGTTATCTGGGCACTTTGTGGTGGCACGTACAGTGTACGTCTCCCGTTACAAAGGGGTTAAAGCAAACTGTTTATATTCTGACACTTTTACATAAAGTCCCAGAGGAGTACAAACAACATATACTTCAGGCAATCTCCAAAATATACAATATGTTCATTCCATGAAAGAGACATTCCTGAAGTCTTTCACTTTGGTCAGTGTGCCTTTAGTGGAAGTATATGTGATGAAACAATGGATAAATCTTTGTTGCATCATGTAAGCACATTGGCAAAACAATAGCCATACATGGGAAAATTTCACACAGTATATTGGATTGTTTTACATACATGGGAAGATTTCACACAGTATAAGAGATTGTTTTACATACATGGGAAGATTACACACAGTATATGAGATTGGTTTACATACATGGGAAGATGAATATATTAGATTGTTTTATATACATACGAAGATTTCACACGGTATATTAGATTGGTTTACATACATGGGAAGATTACACACAGTATATGAGATTAGTTTACATACATGGGAAGATTACACACAGTATATTAGATTGGTTTACATACATGGGAAGATTACAGACAGTATATGAGATTGGTTTACATACATGGGAAGATTACACACAGTATATTAAATTGATTTACATACATGGGAAGATTACACACAGTATATGAGATTGGTTTACATACTTGGGAAGATGAGTATATTAGATTGTTTTATATACATACAAAGATTTCACACAGTATATGAGATTGGTTTACATACATGGGAAGATTACACGCAGTATATTAGAGTGGTTTACATACATGGGAAGATTACACACAGTATCTTATATTGGTCTACAATCCGTCTCACAAACCATCATGCTCATTAATGAATACCGAACATTAATGGTAGGTGATGGGGATTATTAGGAGTCTGTTTATAGTTTAGGCATCTTTGCTATGCTTGGTGTTTTGATGATTATTTTATCAGATAATAATAAATGTTGGACATAGACACGAGTTTAGCAATTTAACTGTTGGACAAACATTTTCTCACCAACTCATATATCAGTATTTGCTCTCGTTTTGCACATACGCCTGGCATGTATGCGTGCACAGAAATCATACCCCGTACCAGCACCAACCATTCTTGTGTGTGCCAGGGACATGGGTAGAAAACATTCTCAAATAGAAGGACGAAAAGGGTGGAGGAGGTGTCATGAATATTTCATAGATTCCACAATCACTGATCTTATCATGATTGCATTTATTGTCCGTGGGTGCATTCATTCAATAAGGCTATATGTTAACTTTGCGCACACAGTGAAGTATTTTAAGAAATTCCAGAGCTAGCAATGTATGGAAATATTATGTTTGTATCTATTTATATGGCAATTTAAACCTTAGAATTATTAGAGTGTTGTGGTGTATTTGGATCTTTACACACTAAATCAGAATCACCTTATTTAGAACACTCTGTAGCTCATGTCTAGGTGTCAGAATCATCTGATCCTTTGGTAGAGAACTTTCAGATGTTGAAGTAGAACTGAAGCCAAAACAGGAAGTGAGAGGAAATCCTTCCAGAGAGAAATAAATCTCTGCTGGTCAGCAAGATTACCAGAACTAGTGTATCCATTGGAAGATTTTCTGATGACAACCCAAAAACTGGGATTTTCTTCACTTTCAGTTAGAATAGTAACCAGAACAATTAGAGAGGGTGAATCTCCCTAATGGGGACACAGACTGCAATAAAGACATGACCTGTTCTAAACACTTTTCACTCCATCCAAAACTAAAAAGAAAAAAGTTTTGACTTCAGTTGCACTTTAAGCAGTGCTTCCTTATCATCCAATGTTCACATTTACTATTCATCACATGTTGAAGGATCTCCCTATTGCTGCTTTACAACACTGCCATAAAAGAAAGGATTAATAGAGTAGAGGACAAAAACAAATCCAATTGCCCTAACTGATGGAGGCACTAATTTAACATTTCATGTGTCAGCGATCATGCTGTACTTGTTTTGTCAAGTTTGTTGACTGCTTATAGGTTTGTTTTTGTCTATTTATAGTGCCATCAAAAATCTCTATAAAAGTTTATTAATTATGCCTATGACTTCTTAACTTTCATCTGTTGCACTTCTCTCTTTTTCTATCATTCTGTTTGCTTAGATTTTAGCCATACTCGTGGCCCATTGGATGGAAGTCTGTATGCCCAAGTGAAGAAGAAATCAACACCATTGGCATCTACTAATGGAAGTCCTGAGCAACATGGACGTCTTTTGTCTGTCAGCAGTGACTCTGGCCATTCTTCAGCTCCTACAGAAAGGTTAGAGGAGACTCCACAGAAGATATTACCAACAGCTGCTGAGAGAGAAGACTTGGAGAAACTTCTGGGTGGTTTTGGAGTCGGTGTAAAACAAGAGGCTGAGCCCCAGTACTCTCAGGTTCGCAGACATGAGGAGGTGGTGCCTACAAATGTACACCTGAAGCAGAATTTAGGGGCAAGACTTCAAGATGTGCAATACCAGGTTAAGCAGGAAGTGCCAAGCCAAAACATTCAGCCAAAAATTAATGGAGAATCAAGACTTCAGTATTACCCTCCATGGTCTGCAGTGTCTGATAAAGGAGCATCTCAAATTGTGCCTCCAACCTCCCCATCCTGGGAAGAGCAGAGAGAGTCACCTTGTGAAACTTCATGGGAGGGCCAGGGAGATCGTGAGACAGCCATTCTGGAAGGAGAGATTGGACAGATTGGTGGCCTAGCTGTGTACCCAGGAAGAAGGACTTTATTATCTAGACACTGCTCCTGTAGATCAGGGTATGCAGGTCCCTGTATTGAGGGGCCTCCTAACCGATCCTACTTCAGACCAGAAGTTATCTTTGATTCCCATGGTCCACCAGGAGCTAGTGCCGTATTGCCAGGTGTTCACTATCCAGGCTTATATGGTGAACAAGAGAGAAGAAGGCTGTATCGCTCCTTATCTGAAGGACCTCAACATTATCCAAATCAAACACAAAGTCCACCAAAAAGAGGTAGTCTCAGAGAAAATCGTCAGTATATGTGCCAGCATCCTAGTCATGAACCTGTTCTGCCACCCATGTGCCCCTGCTCTCACTGCCAGAGTTCACCTTGCTACCCTGTGCCAAACTTGTGGCCCTTGGATGGAGGGAAGATGCCACCAGTTCAGCATTTTCATCGAGAACAACTTCCATTACACTTACCACAGCCTTATGGACAGCCCAACCATGATATTCCACCTCCCTTCCAGGTTCCCCCATCTAAGATGCACTATGGGTTCCCCATCCCTCATAATGAAGACTCTTTGCATTATAACCATTACGCAGATGCTGGATATGGCCATGCTTACCCACATTTCTTGCACCCTTCTTATCTTCCTACACACTGTCAGCCTAATGGTTATAGTGCCCATTCCTTTCCCACATGTATATCTTCCTACAACCAACCTGGCAGTCCATCTCCTCCAGGCTCTGTGTCTCCCATTGTCCCTTCCTGCGGTGGTCCGCGAAGAATGAGTGCTGACACCATGTCAGCAGGCAGTACTGGGGAATTAACACCACCACAACAACAGAAAGGTGAGCAGAATTAAAGAAATTGTATAAAAAATATGTTTATAGAGACCTCTGTTAAATATGAACTATTCAGAGTAGTTGTCCACAAATAGTAAACCTTAACTCTGCTCAAGTCTGCTCCTATTTAATCCTGCATTGGTCGCTGCCATATTGCCTCCTGCTCGGCATAGAGAAGATGAAGCCAAACTGTCAATCATAGCCAGCTGTCATGTGTATGTGCTTTCAGCAGCCAGGAGAGGTTCAAGATATAGATAAGGACTTAGCTGTTAACTTCAGAAAAAGTCCAATTTTAACTGTTTGGTCCAAAGAGCTGTTTGGTCTGAATGATTTGGGAAAAGGAGCACATTTAAAGTAGATTATTAAAGGTATAAGTTAACATGCTTGGTGAATGGAAAGGTTAGTTTTAAATAATGAATTTGCATGTCGGCTGCCAGATTGGCCTTAAAGGCATACTCCACCTTTTGCAAAAAATACTAAATGCACCCACATTGAAGCAAGAATAAAAGGTGCATTTATTAGTCCAGTGGGGTCTGCAAAGCATTACAACCATGATCAGTGGATTGTGGTTACAATGCACTGGCTCCTGCGGAATGCACCTCCAGCCCCAGGTATGTACCAAGGTATGGACCTTTATTTATGGGACTGGAGGAAGTTATCAATAGACGATAATTCATTGAGATCTGAGTCCCTCTGCTGCTGTGGCAGATGGGACTTGTAGCCTGTGAATAGATCTTTGAATAACATCCTGTAAAAAATATACAGCATGCTTCAGGGAGAAGAACCCCGGGATTCAGGTAAGTAGGGGGGCAGTTTGAGGGTGGAGGGCTGTGGAATGTGATCATGCTTCTCCCTGAATAATGGGGTAACATGAGTCATGGTCACAAAGCTGGACTTCCAGACATTTAATATGGTCTAATTGCTACAGTTGTCATTAATTGATCTCTTTTAGGGTATGGCCTAGGGCAGGGATGTCCAAACTCCGGCCCTCCAGCTGTGGTGAAACTACAAATCCCATGAAGCATCTCTCTCCGGGAGTCATGTCTGTGGCTGTGAGAATTTTGCAAAACCTCATGGGATTCGTAGTTCCACCACAGCTGGAGGGCCGCAGTTTGGACATCCCTGGCCTAAGGGGTTATGTGCTGACATAGGACCTATTCACACTGAATGAAGATGCATTGCAAGTAGAAATCTCACTATTTCCTAAGTGGCTGGTTCACATGTATGTGATTCAGTTTAGTGGGAAAGGGGAAAAGTAATTTATATGGGTCCGTTCACACCTACCCATGTGCATGCACACAGAAAAAATCCACACTTCAGCACATCAGCACCACATTGTGTGCTCCTGAGTCTGAATACACTTAATGTATTCACTTTGTGACTTACTGTTACTATAGCTTTGACTTTTTTGTTAAACATGGCAGAAGCTCCATGACTTGTCTGACTAAAATGAAGAAGTGTTTTCTTGTGTTTGGCAGACACGAATGTTGAATATTTCAAAACAGAAATTTATTGTAGGTTTTTTCTTATCTAAACTAAGATTTGGATCTATCCCGATGACATCTTCGTGTGCTAGCATGCAGTGAATCTCACGTCTGACCCATACAATTGTCCAGTGGGACCTGTAGCCACTGTTTGACTTCTGGAGTGCAGTGCCACCTGCAGCTCAAATGTAGTATAACAGCCATATAGTTAAAGTGACACTTAACTCTTCAAAATACATTCACATACCTTAATTAATAACAGAAATGTATCTTATTTGTGTATGACACTGTCCTTCCTTCTGGGGGGTAGTTACTTTTGTTCTCCATGGTCCCTGTGTGTGTTGTAAAGTAGCCACCATTCTAAGCTCGCTCCCGTGATGGACTACAATCTCAATACAAATTTGTAAACTGAAAATGAGATTGTACTTTACAACACACACAGGGACCATGGGGAACAAAAGTATCCACCCTCCAGAAGGAAGGGCAATGTCAGCACCAATTCAGAGATGATTTGAGGATCTACAGCTGAGTGATACATTTTTGTTGTTAGTTAATTAAAGGGTTTCTAAACCCTCCGTTTTTTTTTCATATATCTACTGCTAGCAAGCAGTAGAGATATGCAAAAAGTAAAAAAAAAAAAAAAAATCGGTTTAAACTTACCCCCATCTTCGCTGCATGCTCCCGTCTGAAAATCCGAAAATGCTCGGGCGGGCGCATGCGCAGTTCTGATATTCGGCCCGGGAGACGAGGAGAGACGCAAGGTAAGTATATAAACAGCGTGCACCCGCATGCAGACACCGTGAGACAGGAAGTGCCAGCAAGGACAGAGGAGTCAGCGCTGGATCAAATTCAAATTTTCATTAGTTTTATCCCCCTCCTAATAACCATATCCATCTAGAAGTTTGTAAACTTACTTATGGAAGATGACCATATGATGCACTTCCTCAATGCACTGACACAATTCCCTGCGTCACATCTCTCACAGAGTCTGCCTTCTGAACTACAACTCAATGGAAGCATTGCATTAGGGCTGCAACAACCAATCGACTAAGTTGATTATAATCGATGATGGAAAACGTTGTCAACTTGTTTGACTTTCGCCTAATGGGCCCATGTGTTGTAAGATGTATTGACTTGGGAATACAACACAGTAATACGAACTGCATCCATGTTTACAATGAAAATTAATGCCTGAATGTTCAAAGTGACACAAGGCAAACGCATGCAAACACAGCGCAATCACAATGCAGATATAATATAATTGCAGTCCAGTTGTCACTAGGCATTTTTCTACTCATTTACTCCACAAAGCAGCTAAGATGACTGCTGGAAATTTCCTCTCCTGACTTTTCCCAGTTTACTGCGTCATTGTCCAGTCAGAAATATCTTTTCCAAGCACAGGGAGTGTGCCAAACCAAAAAGCGTTTATTTCCCTACTGCAGGATCACTGAAGCTCTGTTCCCTTTGGCTTGCTGACAGATTCTACTGTAGGGTTGCCAGTGTTGGCTGGAATTAACATGTGGCCTGGCTTTGTATGCTGAGTGTTAGTGAGTTATTGTGCCCAACTGAACCTTATAACTGTAGTTAAAGGAAACTTGTCATGACAGAAATATGAAGACTGCCATTGCTGACCTCCTTCTGAAAACGCCACTTCACTGATTTCACTTTGTCTGTTTCTTGTATTTGTTCTTCAAAAGGCTAAGTTTACTGTTTTTAATAATGTTCCATGCAACACCCATATTTAGGGTATAACGTGAAAAATGGTCAGAACAAAGAAGTAGTAAAGCACAGCTGCTGTGTAGCACTGCTACTACACACACATATATGAACTGAAAAGTCACGACACTGACATATTATTGCTCAATACGTCATTTTCTTTTTTATTGTTACCGGGTACAAAGATACTGTATATTCAAAGGTACTACAGTTTAAAGTCCCCCTGTCCTTCGTCTGGTACACAGGACCGATTGGGCAGCAGCCTTTGATCTATAAAGCATACCCACCATTCCCTAGGGGAGAGAATGAGTGGGCAGATTTGAGAATCTTATCTGATTACTGCAGTTCCAGGAGGGGTGTGGGTGCTCCCTCCATCCCCTCTAATTTCAGTAAAACAGGAATGCTCAAGACAAATTGATGGCTAGAATGATGAAAGGATTTTTAAATAATGCCGGCAAGCCAAATGTATTCTCAGGTGTTCCTAAAAAGTACCTGTGTATGGACCAATTATCATAGTACTTTCGGCTGGATTAGATCCACTCTTATAATTTGCATATAATTACTCTTGTTACATTTATAGCAGAGGGAAAGGTCCCTGTGTCAATGCACCTCATTAATGTCTGTAACATGGGAATCCTTTCAGAGTTCACTCGTCTTCCCTCCACCACCGCCATTGGGTTACTTTTCACTTTTAGTAAATAGGCTTTATTAACGTTTTCAAAGCAGACAAAACCCGACAAGCAAGAAACACAACGTCAATAAGATATGTGGAACTGAGCCAAATAAGTGTAAAGCAAAAATGTACGGGGTACAGTATAAAAGACCTGCGCTCAGTATGCATTCCAAAATGAGAAAGTAGTGTAAGAAGATATGAAGCGCAAAAGATGAAAAAAAAAATCTCACTTGCAGAATGTAACCCATAGACTAAATTGAAAAAGGAAGGAAAAGATAAAGTGTCAGACCCAAGATAGAAGAAACTAGTAAGAGGTAAAGAGGCAAAGAGAAGATAAGGAGAAATACACGCAGAGGAGAGAAGTCAAGAGAAAGAGGAGAAATAGAACAGACCACGGAGAGAGTACATGGACCAAGGAGTCAATGATAAGATTCTGCACTACGGTAGCTAAATCTATATAAGAAATCTGCTAAAAGTGCAATCACTTAAAGGAGAACTATGGGGTTAGTGCTTTTCCCCATAGTTCTCCGCAGGGTAACAGGAGGACACAAACTAGCGTCCTCCCGTCACCCAAAGCTCAGTATACTGCGCGCTGCAGCTCGCGGTATACTGAGACGCCGCAGCTGAAACGGATCCCGACAATTATGTCTGGATCCGCCCAGCTGCATGTTACTATTGCTACATTCCTCTATAGCTGCTGGTATTCTGCACTGCGCCGCTGTATAATGTACTATATTGCACACCACACTCCACACCATACTTCCACCGCGCCAAGCTTGCTCCCGTGATGGACTACAATCTCAATAGAAACTAGTAGTCCATCACTGGAGCCCTTTTTTTTTATCCGATTAATCGAACTTAATAATCGGCTAACTAATCGATTATGAAAATAATCGTTAGCTGCAGCCCTAGAATCCAGTCACTCCTCTGTCACGGCTCACCTGCGGGGATAGATCGAGAAGTGAGCGAGCGCCGGTATGTGTTCGCTCACTTCCCGATCACTGAGCCGACCTGTGACAGTTTCATTGTCACAGGTCGGCTAGAACTATGAGGTGAGTGAAAAGCACTCGCCTCATAATTCCCCTTTAAGGAGCTAGAGAAACAAGTGTACAGCGCTACCTATTCAAGAAAGT